GGGGGATATGAAGGCTACGCTGAAGCCGCGGCGCTGTGTGGGAGTGGTCGAGTAAGGGGAAAGGGGGAAGGGGGCATCTGCAATTGGGAACACCGCGCGCATGGCGGCGCGCTCGCGGTGGAAATGATCTTGTCACTTCCGGGAACACACAGACCCGACGCCCCCCTCCCCGCCCCCCTTCCGCGCGGATACACACTCGACAGAGGTGCGGACCAGGCCGCTCGGCTGGGACTCGTGTTCAGCGAGTGGCCGCGCGCACCACCGCAGCAGGGCGAAGGCGATAAAGAAGGAAGTGGCTGCGGCCGCGGCCGTCTGTCCGTTCGTCGCGTCACAAATTAACTCGGCTAACTTTCCCGCGTCTCGAATTCTCGATTCAAGTGCGGCACTGTGACGCTCTCTGCGCCGCGGCTTGGTCGGTACGACGACGCAGAGCCGGCAACTTTTATGAATCAGAATCCAGCGACGCCCCTCGGTGTCCGCCTCGCCCCACCCGTGGCCCCGCCCCGCGCGCTCCACCCCGACAGAGGAGAAGAGGATTCCTTTCTTGCCCCGTGTCTGGCCCAGATCTGGGCGGCGAGGGAGAAGTCTGGTTCATCAACCAGGTGCTTCTGCGAGCTGGCAAGTTTCATTAGTAGAAGAAAAGAGCGGAGTGGAGAAAGAGAGGGGGAGATAGAGACGGAGAGAAAGGGTGTGGCCCCCAAAGAGAAAGAGGGCGAAAGAAGAGAGAGCGTGCGGTCAGGGCGAAAGAGACGTTGAAATCGTGGAGAGCAACGAAGCTTGTCTTACCGTGCGTCGTCAAAACGGCTTGAAGTAAGTGAGAGAGAAAGGGGGTGGAGGGGGTGTATGCTGCAGACTGAGAGGGGTGGGGGGACTCTGTAATGCGTGGCGCTGGGCCGCCGATAGCCGGGCGCGCTGGGCTCCAATCACATTGCTCCACAGCTTCATTGCCCGCCCCGCCCCGCCCCGCCCCTCCCGTGGCCACAACACCGATCCGGCGGTGGCGTTAGGCCGTAAGCCGCGCGGCCGCTGCGGCCCCCTGGCCGGCCGAGGGCGCCGGGCCGCACACTGCCAGGTGGAGGCTGGTGCCCACTCCTGGTGCCAATGCTTGCCGCCCGCGCGCACCAACGAGACCCGTCGCCGCATGACTATCGCGCTCTGGGTGGGACCTCGCCC